AGAGGCATCATTTAAGGTAAGTCCTTAAAGCAGCATGGGGAGGGGGGATTTTAACTTTAATGTCCCTTTTAATATCAGGTAACTGTACTACAGTTTGCCAAGTTTCTATTGGAAAGTGACTGTTTGATTTGGCTGAACTGTTTGATGACATGATATCAGAGATCAAAGTTTCTGATAATTTTTTGCCCAGGGCTAGTTGTTGTCTAAGGAATGATGACATATATTTTTTTTTATAGATATATGGAAAGATAACACATTAGTTACGTCTGATAATGGCTGCAAGGGGTTAACATTGAAAAGTATAAGTTAGTAGTGTAGCACACCCCTCTGACCCTCAGAGGCCTGAGGTGGACCCCCAAAAGGTAGGGAGGGCTGGCATTTCACTTTCAGGGGTAGTTCCTTAGCCACTGAAGGCATGTGGTCAACAAATTGGGCGCCAGTCCCTTGAGCGATTTTTCAATGCTTTATTAACAGACAGCAAAATTGGGAGAGAGGGTATAGGGCTTCAGACATCCATGGCAAAAATACACAGATGCCAGACTCGCCAATCCCTTCAGGCTTCCACAGTTCAGAGAATACTTCAGTAGAACAGGAACTGATACTGTGCAGTAGAACAGTAGCTGAATAGGGATGTGCATGAGTTCTTTCCTGACTTGTTCCTGAGGTCCATGTCAGCTCCTGGCAACTCCAACAGTCATAGGGCTCCTCTGATTCTCCTCCCCAGATAGTTCCAGACCACACCTGGGTCCACATGTGGCCTCCTTCAGGCTTGAGGCCTAGTCAGCTTCTCCAACCTTGTACATGCCATTCGCACACCCCCTGAGGACATAGCAATCCCTAAGTATTTATGAACTCCACCAGCATGAAACTCCTAGTTATTGGCTGGTGAGGCATAGGCACTCCTGATGTTCCCCTATTGGCTGTCCCAGTCTGTGGCAGGGTCACAAACCACTCACAGGTAGGTGCAATCAATCGCAGAATACATAGATTTAACCAGATCATGACAAAATACAAATCAGCCAGCCTGATTACAGTGCTGGCAACACTAAATTTTATTTGCCGCTCCAATTAAGGTGGTAGGGGCTACAGTAGTTACACTAGACAGAGGATCTGATGCCACAAGTGTTTAAACTTGGATGTGGAAGACATGGCTAAAATGATTCTGCATGTGTAGAATGTGAAACAACAAATTCTGAACTTACAAAAGACAAATTTGACCATGAAATTAAAGTGAAAAACACATTTTGCCTTGAAATGATAGACTCTGCAGGCCGGGAAGGCAGAGCAGGGCATTATAGACTTCATAGAGGTAGTTCTTGAACAAAGCATATATGCACATATGATAACAATATTCCCAGTTGGTGGAGGCATATCTGAATATGAAGTAGGTTGGTTACATTTATTCGCTTACCTAGAGTTTCCTCTAGACATGCCTGTTCGGTCACTCACAGACAAACAATGTTTTAATATGTGCCGAGGTAGGACTATCGGAACGTTTTTGAATAATATTTGCTGACCAGGAGCTGATTCTGCTTTAACCAATCTTTTTTTGTGACCTGTAATCTGTTTTGAGAACCATTTTTACATTCTTCCTTTTGGTGCATACATTCACTTTTCTCACTTGTAGATGAATTTGTCACCAGTGCCAGGTGTCTCTTCCTGGATGCCCCAATTCCATAAATCCCAATCCCAGAACTGAGTGACCCCCCTCCCAACAAATGATGTAGTTCATACACAGTCCCATGATATAGTTTGTAAAGTTTGAGTCAGTAAATTTGTTAGATTAGTTTAGGCATGTTTTTACTAACTAAAGCCAGCCAGCTAAGCAGATCCCAGGTCACACACATGCACAGCCAAGTTTGAATGCAGTTGGCAGAGGATGTTGATGGGAGGAAGAGGTCTGATGTCTGGATGTTGGTCCTTACTCCATAAGAAGTTACGTTGCCTAGAAATGTAGGCGCAATTGACAAGGAAGAGGGTGAGCGGGACCCAGCCAGGCGGCAGCCTCCAATCACTGTACTAAACAATGGGAATGAGATGGCTGGGTCCCTTGGATGGAAGCAAGCAAATTGAATTACACTGACAGGCTGTTAATGACTACATACACTATATTGCCAAAAGTATTAGGACACCCCTCCTTTTCATTGGATTCAGGTGTTCCAATCACATCCATGGCCACAGGTGTATAAAATCAAGCACCTATGCAGACTGCTTCTACAAACATTTGTGAAAGAAAGGGTCGTTCTCAGGAGCTCAGTGAAGTCAAGCGTGGTACCATGATAGTTTGCCACCAGTGCAATAAGTCCATCCGTGAAATTTCCTTGCTACTAAATATTCCACGGTCAACGGTTAGTGGTATTATCAAATTATAATGAATGTGCTGCGCTTCATCTAGAACAATACATAAACAAATCTCTATAATAAATATGTGCTTAAATAATACATGCAATCAAAAAAGTGTTCACAATGAATCTTCTTATAAATAATAGTCCTCTGGAAAGTTCAACCATATATTCCGTGTTCAAATATACACAAATGTGGAATCACACGTATATAGTGCTCAGGATTTGTCCCAAGTGCACCACACTCTATCCTTCCACTGTGAAAGTTCTTTGTACAAAGTTCCTACGTCAACTCCAATTATCACCCAGGTGCTCCCCCTCTCAGTGGGCCGCTCACCTTATAAATAGACCTGAACAGGGCTAGAATCGCTTTAATGGGTCTCCAATCGATCTTATGCAAAGACCATCTCTCCACAATCGTTGCACAGAAAATGACGTCAGCATGTCATCACGACCATATCCAATAAAATATAAAAACAGCCCATAGCGTAAAACTGCAAAATTAAAAAACCTCCTTTATTTAAAAATGCTTGACAACTCTCTCTCCGTGTCACCGTGTTCTCTGGGTGCAAAGACAGATCAAACAGGAGCTGTGCTGCCGACCATGCAACCTCCAATCCACGTCTGCGAGACTGGGCGGAGTTTCAGAAATATCTGTTTGGTACACTGGCCCGTGTGGTAAATACTCCATGCCGTTGTATTTTGTGTGTTACGCACTCCTGCACCTTGCACCCGTTGCAATATGTGCTCGACCCCGCACCACACATCTTCTGATCCTTGCAATACCCCCTGCTGACCCCTGCACTATGTATAATGCCCACTCTTAAGGTGCCCATACACTGCACGATTCTAGTACGAGAACAGCGGGAAATCCCGCGATCTTACGAGAATCGTGCAGTGTGAATGAAGACGTGCAACCGTTTTACTGTAGGGTCGCACGTCTTTTGTCTTAGGAGCATGCTAGAAAACCAGCCGAAAATCTTACGATTTTCGGCTGGTTTGAACGGTGCTCGGGAGACAAATGCCGAACGGGCCGGTGTGCGCACGCGCACACTGCCCGTTCAGCATTGCAGTCATCGGAAGCCCGCCCCTCAGATCGCAAGTACGATCTGCCTGTCCAAGATGGGCAGATCGTACATTTTTTAAATTACTTTGCAACCATCGCAAGACTGAGGTCTTGCGATGGTTGTAAAGTGTATGGCCACCTTAAACTTCTGTACAATATGCACTACTGACAAGCATTTTGGTGAGCGAGTCAACATATTATGGTGTGGGGTTGCTTTTCAGGAGTTGGGCTTGGCCCCTTAGTTCCAGTGAAGGGAACTCTTAAGGCATCAGCATACCAAGACATTTTGGACAATTTCATGCTCCCAACTTTGTGGGAACAGTTTGGGGATGGCCCCTTCCTGTTCCAACATGACTGCGCACCAGTGCACAAAGCAAGGTCATGGATGAGCGAGTTTGGGGTGTAGGAACCTGACTGGCCTGCACAGGGTCCTGGCCTCAACCCGATAGAACACCTTTGGGATGATTTAGAGCGGAGACTGCGAGCCAGGCCTTCTCATCCAATATCAGTGCCTGACCTCACAAATGCGCTTCTGGAAGAATGGTCCAACATTCCCATAGACACACTCCTAAACCTTGTGGACGCCTTTCCAGAAGAGTTGAAGCGGTTATAGCTGCAAAGGGTGGGCCAACTCAATATTGAACCCTACGGATGAAGACTGGGATACCATTAAAGTTCATGTGTGTGTAAGGCGTCCCAATACTGCGGTTACCGTGTGTCACCCCGCCGACTCGTCATCGCGCACGTGTGGCAATCTTCTGATACCTGCTGGCGGCCATCTTGGTGATGTAGGCTGGCAGAGAGAGGAGGGGACAGTCACTCGGCGGGATAAGGTGTGTCGCCAGGTCCCCTCCTCTCTGTCCTGATACTGTCGGGCGTTCGGTACATGACCGAGTGCCTGACTTTTCAGAGGGGGGTGACACCAAAATGACTGTCAGTCGTTTTGGTGTCACCCCTCCAATGGTGTCACCCGGGTGCAGGCTGCACCCCCCTTGTGACGCCAGAGTGTAGGTTATATACTTGGGACTCACATAAAGATCCCCCAGCACTCTGGTGGGCTACTTGTGACAACGCAGGAGGGTAACTAGGAAACAAGGACATAGTTGTCACCCTACACCAAAGAGGAAGTTCATGAACAAGGATCCTTTTGGCAGGGTTACTAGCTATTATCTTAATGAAAGCTGCTGATTAAAAAATATTGAAAATGTATCTTTGTAATTGAAAGCTTTTAAAGATTTTAGTGACTGAGTTTATATTTTATCATACCCATAGGAATGTATCCAGAGGCATGTCCTGAACATCATTCCTATTCCCATTTAACATGAAGGCAGCCAGTACAAGAAGCCTGCGCCTGCAACACAATAACCCCACTTAAGAAATCACTTCTTCGAGAATAAAGCAGGCGGAGCGACAAATCTCGGAATGTGGAGCCGGAACCTGCTATCACTATGGTAACCCTCGAGATGTAGCCATTGGACGTTCAAAGCGTCAGTCACCCCCCTCTCCGCCTATCGAATATGTTCACCAGCTCCTTCTTTCTCTGTAATCTCTTCCTGACAGGAAGCGCCGCCTACACCAACCCACGGATTGGTCAGATTCAAGGTGGTACATTCCGGTATCCCGGCTGTGGGATCGGCAGGCGGAGTGATCCATTAAGCACCTAAGGGGGTTCGGGCCTATTCGGGGCCTGTGGGAGTTCGTAGATTCGGTGCATTTTCTTTTTTTGTCTCGTTGTGCTGGGCAAGCCGCGAGAATAAGGGCCGTTATAGGAGAGGATGAGGCCGTAGGCGCCGTGAGCAGCACGAGAGGAAAGAAACAATCTGCCCACAGAGACATGGACAGTCAGGTACTGATAAAAGAAAAGCACTGACCGAGAGCTGATAGCACTAGAATCCAGGTATAAGGTGTTACTGACTGAACTATACACTCAGAGCCGAGAGCATTGTCATTATAGAGCTGAGCAGGGGAGAAGTAACAATGGCTAGGTAATAGAAAACGTATGGGCCAGTTATGTGGAGAGAGAATGGGCCAGGTAGGTAGAAGTGTAAGCCAAGACAGAGCCCAGCAGAAAGATGAATGGGGGTTCTAAGCTTTTGTCATTTTCAGAGCTACCAGACATGTATTCTGAATGAGAACATCATTGTGTGCACTTTACGTGTCATCTACGAGCCGCCGATCACACCTGAGCGTTTTGTTGCGTTTTCTAAAGTGTGACAGCGCTCATTGTGAAGAATCCCATTATTTTCAGTGGTGCCTGTTTGCTAGTGATGTGCATGGGCTTGATGTAAACCCAGCCTGTGCAATACTGTCAGTGACACTCCAGCCCAATCAGTTGCGGCAGGGGCATTCCTGGCAACTTTGTTATATGTACCTGCGGGACAGGGAATGCCCCAACCACATCTGATTGGGCTGGCAGGGGAGGGGTGTCACTGACCGTTTTGCACAAGCTTGGGTGAAATTGATTTTAGTGGTAGCATCAGAAAAATGCACGTAACATGCACTTTTGCGCTTGACAAATGTCTCCTCCTTCTCTTAGAAACTAGCTTTCCGTTGGCTAAAATAAAAACGCTCACGCCTAAAAACGCACAAAAACAAAACTGTTTAACTCGTGCTCAGGTTTGAATGGGATGTAAGAGTTGTAGGATGGGCATAGTGCCTCCTTGTATGGATGACATGTCACTTTGTTTAGGAGACATTTCTAGTATGCATGGTGATCCTGCACACTTGTTTTATGTTAGTTTGTGCAAACCAGTCTCCATTCATTTCTCTGGTGGACGGAGCTGTCATGTATATGTGACACGGGAGCTGTGCATTGTGGTGAACCCTACACACTACTTTCTAAGGGCCCTCAGAAGTGAGTGGTAGGGTTAGGGCTTGTCCACACCATGTTCATTGAGCTGCCTTTTCTCTGCACACCATGGCACATATATAGTGAAATCAATTGTTTTCTATGTGCCCTGTTCACACCATATATGTCTGGTGGGGAAAAAAAAGCACACCTCAATGGGCATGGTGTGAACAAGCTCTTAAAGTACAAGAGACTACAGGGATCATCCCTGTGCATTGACACAGCATTACTGAAAGAAGCATGTGTGTTAGGGACTTTGTGATGTCGGCCTTAAACAGGAAGCCCACTGTACAAAGTTGTTACTGGCAGGAACACCGGGTGAGAAACATTAAAAGTGGACCCAGATCTTTAAAATAACAACAAAGACACCTTTAGAAATGTTTAGTAATGACAATCTACAAACACATACTTCTAGATCCTTGGTTCTCAACTGGTGGGTCGTGACCCAAAAGTGGGTCGCGACCCCATGTTCAGTGGGTCGCCGCATGCTATCCACTTTTCTAGGTGAGAGGCTCCTCAGCCTCCCCCTAGCGCAACATTGTCCGTTCTGACACCGAGCAGGCATTCAAAATATGTGTCAGCTTGAGGTGGGGTGGGGTGGGCTGGGGGTATAGCAGCGAGGGAGCTCCATCCAAACCTGTATTGCTTACAGCTCCCTCGCATGTTCTGTAGAGGTGCCTGGACTGGAGTGACATCACATTCTGGCTCCTGTCACCTCTACTTGGTGCGCATGGGAGCTGTACATGCAATGCACGTATGGATGGAGCTCCATGACAGCACAGCAGCCCACACCGCCGTGCATTCCATTGCAGTGCGACTTAGGTCGTGACTTCATGACCGTGGACAAATGTGGGTCCTGGGGTCTCCCAGGTTGAGAACCACTGTTCTAGATAATTGCAGGCTTTGTATTCTTTGCATACCTTATTTTTCTTTTCTTCCCCTGTCTTCTGAGGGAAGATTAATATATCTAGCTTTATTTCCTGGAACTCTGGCACATGTGACTAGGACATGTGAGCATGCACATCATCTCAGGGTAGGAAAATGCCTTTCCCTGAGATCTCGTGAGATGAAATTTCCCAGCAATGCACTGCTGATGTAATCTTCCCAGGATGCAATGCTTGGGCACAGATTACATCATATGTGCCAAAGTGGACCAGGAAGTGGAAAAACTCTGTAAGTAAAAGAAAAACATGTTTGTTTAACTTATTAATATACTATGATTTTAAATCCGCATGCAGAGCTGTATGCTGATGTGATTTTTAGTGAAAGGGGGTAAAGGTCCACTTTAACCAGTTGACATCCGCGGTATGCAAGAGGTTAAGAAAACAACTACCTGGAGCAGTCTATGCATGCTGTCACATATATTTAGAGTATGTCAGGGCAAAATATTCCTCTTTACTTCTCTGACTGGACAACACAGCTCTGAATTCCAAACCACGTGGTATCAGCCCCCCCCCATCTCCATAACCCCTTGTGCACAAACGGAGAACACTCAAAGTTATAACATTTCTGGTAAAATTAAAGGAGAATTATGGGGAAAGTGAAATATACTCATCACTATAGTTAGAGCCAACGTGTGACACTCCAGCTGTCACATGCCGGCTCTATACAATGAAAACTGAGCGATCACAAGCCGCTCAGTTCACAATCTTCTCCCTGCAGAGAGTGGTGACTGTCAGTTACGGCTCCCCACATGAATTCTTTCTTCCCCTCTCCATTCCTCTAGTGCTGACTGGAGGGACATATGGGGGAGGGGGCGGGCACAGCTGGCTCTAGAGAGGCAGATGCAGATATTCTCGGGTTCCTTCCCGGCTGCAGCACGGCTCTGCGCTGTCAGCATATGACGGGCAGTATTTTTGATGCACTGTGGTAAATTAATCTAATTCTTTATTTTTTTGCAGACAATGCTGGGAAATAACTGACAGTGTGATGTGAAAAAGTACAGAGTGTACCAGACACAGTGAGTCAGTCATAGAGATAGACGCAGAGAAGGCGAGCCAGGAAGGTAAAACTAAAAAAGGGAATTTGGTAGGTGGAAAAGAAAAACAGTGGGCCAGGCAGACAAAATTGGAGAACTGGGTGGGCCAGGCAAGCAACAAGGGGAGAGGACTAAAGAGCCCAAACAAACAAGGGGAGGACTGGGCGGGCCAAGGCAGCAAGGGAAGGACTGGGCGGGCCATGCAAACTGCACACGGAGGACAGGATGAGCCAAGCAAGCGACGCAATGACTAGGTGGGCCAAGCTGCAAGGGGAAGATTTTGCGGGCCAAGCAAGCAGCTAGGGGAGGATTCGGCAGGACAAGCATGCTGCCAGGGGACAACTGGGTGGGCCAAGCAAGCAGCAAAGGGAGGTCTGGGTGGGCCAAGCAAGCAAGGGGAGGATCGGGTGAGCCAAACAAGCGGCAAGGGAAAGACTGGGTTGGCCAATCGGCAAGGGGAGGACAGGGTTGGCCAGGCAAGCAAGCCCCCTGTACTAACGAAAGTGTTCTGATTCATTGAACATAATGGAGTTTAAAAGACCCAGTGGTATAAATAGCTTCTGCAATACTGTGATAATCGGCTGTAAAGAATACAATAACGTACAACACAATATTCAGAGTGTAGTGGTGTGGAGTATGTAACATACTGCACAGCGTGCAACAAGGGATAGTCTGTATTATATCATGTTTAGTAAGAAAGGGATAGCCCAGAGTGTGTCCCATGCAGCACAGTGTAATGATGAGCATGTCACATACTGGAATATGTCATGTACATCACAGTGTACAGGGAGGGATGGCTCGAAGAATGTAACTTAAAGCAGTCTGTATGGGAACTTTGGTAGTATTTGCTCTTATTGTAAAAAAAAATGCTCTGTTGTGCAGCACACATCAGACAAAGCTGTAATCTATGAGGATATAGTTGGGGTTATCACTCACTCGCACTTCCTGACTTTCATTCTTTAATTATGGGATGTATACCTCTGCTTACTGGGTCATGTTTGCCCTGGTCAGCTCATTGGACAGAAGTGATGCTGATTCTTTATCCTATGAGAAGGCTGGAGATAGAGAGGTGGCATAGGAATCTAAACTGCTGAACCAGCATTGTCGCCTGTTTTGCTGGGCATTATAAAGAATGCATATTAAGCACTAGGTTGTCTGTACAGAAATGAATTCATTTGTGAGGTCCAACACGAAACGTGTTTTCAAGTATGTATTTAGCTCTTTGGCATTTCTCTTCGATCCTAAATTCAATTTTTATATGGGTGTCACAATGGCTTCTATCGTTTCGTGCTGTGGTTTTGGAAGGAGCTGGACTGATTGAAATACCTCTATATTATTTGAAGGAAACTAGGGCTGCAACCAACTAATTGATTAAGCGATAATGAGAATAGTTGTCAACTATGCTCATCGATTTAGTTGGTTGGATCACCTAGCTCTCTCCTCCACGCTGGGAGGAGGGTACAGCAAGCAGTGTGCAGGTACAATAGCAAGCCTGCTATTGGCTACTGCAATTTGAAATGGCCATTAGCAGGCCGGCTATTGCACTAGCCCACTACCTGCTGTATTTACATTCAGCTACCGTCTGCAGAATCTTGCCACTGGCAGCTGTCATTCCCTGGCTAAAGCTATTCAAGCACCATGTGCTTACAATACAATGATAAAAGGCGAGAAATAAGTCATTTTCGGTTTCGGCCTGACAAATTCTCCTGCTGGAGGTGAGTTGCAGTGCCATTTATTTCAATGGCACCCCAAATGCGCCTCCCACTCAGTGTGATTTCACGCACTGGAACACACAGTACCGCAATGCCCCGCGTTCCAGTGTAGTGCGATTGCGAAAAATTGTACATGCAGTTTTATTCTGAAGTAAACTAATTATGAAAATAATCATTAGTTGCAGCCCTACAGGAAGCCTTTACAGACAGAATTGTAATCTCATGTTACTGTGGTTCCATGTTTCTTTTTGTACAGATGGGTGAATAGCTGGTGGGATCTCAGAAACCAGATAGATGTTATGTTATAGGTGTTTCTATAAATGGCATTTTAATGCATGCCTAGTGACGTGATGGCTGCATTTTCAATTTGTACGTCTTCATTTATACAAGCATTAGGAAACAGGCGATTTACAAACAGTTCTGTAAGCCGCAAGGTACATAGTACTTCCCTTTTCATTCTTGTTAGGGTTTTCACATGCAGTAGCGTATATGCCTGTGTTTACATGTATTTTAGAGCATCCATCACATACACAGCATTTCAAGAATCTACTCAACGTTATTGCAGGATGGCACTGCTTTGCGGATCAAAAATGTACACAATAAGACAATGTTAAAAGTAATGTTCATTGCAATGTTAGCTGATGTTAGGATCATTGAATTGCTCAGAAAAGCGCAGCCTGAAGTGAAGAGCGTCATGCCAATCTAAACAAAGCCCCCAAGTCTACCAGAATGCCTAACTGTTTACCCTTTTAGCTAAGGATCATGTAAATGTAAAAGATTTACATTTGGCTTCTGCAAGCAGATAAGGAACATTGGGCCTCAATTATAAAAGTGCGTGAGCAAAGTGTTGCTCCATAGCAACTGATCGGCAGCATGAAACAGTAAAAGTAACAGTCTGACTGCTGTGGGAAAGCATTGACTCTCAAATACTTTCTTTTAGGAGTTGAGTATAGGCTCATAACTCCTTTTTAAACATACAACATGAAACTGGATTG